CTATCTCATAACTGTCAGATTATGAAACTGCACACTGTAAGCCGCAGGAGTTTACAGAAAAACATCTCCTTATTCTCTTCTGCCACTTTAATCAGATGAATTAATAAAACAGGATTGAACATTCCCTATTCACTCCAAGAGTCTGGAGGAAAAAGAAATAGGACGTTACGTTCTCCAGATTGATGCTATTATTTTTTCAAGATAGCACACTGAAATCCACAGAGCACTCACTTAACAACCTCCTTCCTATCTTAGTCCCGGATTCTTCCATGTGTGACATCTTTCTGGGGCCATCATTTAATCATCTTTTGCCATATTCCCAGGGTCTCTGGCATTGGCAAGAATGTTTGCTTTTGGACTACAACTCCCAGAATCCCAGTGCCAGCAGAGCTCATGGAAGTTGCAGTCCAAAAAAACAAACATTTTGCATCTCTGGCTACCAGATTCTACCATAAAGGACACTGGTTCATAGAGGACAGGAAGAAATTTCAAGGGGGAGAGGTGGAGAAAGAAAAAGCTAGGAAATGCCCGCTGGAAGGACACAACCATGATGGAAAGTGGTGGCACCGATGGTAATGGAACTAGCAGCCCCATTTGAAAGGGAGGCATTTCCTGGGGCAACCACACTGGCTAAGGAAGCTGTCTCCTTCCAGTGAAGGAGGAAGGGGAAAGGGCAAGGCTGAGGTGCCCTTAATACTCCAAAAGAGCAAGGAGAGGTGAAGGCAAGTGGCAGTGGGAACACTTGCCACCTGATGCTTGTTCACATATAGACACACATCAGCAGCCCATCCCTACTACCAGAGGTGACTTTTTGAGGCTACACCTCCCGGAATGTTTGGGCTTTAGAAACAGCCAGGCTAAGTTGGTGGAGAGAGTTGTTTGTGTGACCGAAGTGAGAGAGGATGGACTCTTATCCTGATTGCTTAACCATAACGGAGAGATTGGACTTATTAAGGCATTGATCTTCTGAGAGGTTGGACTTATTAAGGCATTGATCTATCCATCTGGATGTCATGAGAGGCCCGCAGCCTCTCTTCCTGTGGTGCTGGGGTGGGGTGGGGAACAAACTCCTCTTTTTTCAAACAAGACACAGCATCTCTAATGGAGCAAGTGACGAGGGGGAAGGAACTGCCTTCGAGACAAGGTTAAAAGGAAAAGGAAGTCCTTTAAACTGCTTGTGTTCCTTCACTTCTGCATCACTATAAAATCGTAGAATTCCCCAACCAGCGTGACCCTTGCTTGGGTTTGATGTTAAAAGGGTGCTGGGGAAGTAGAAGGATTTTCAAAAATCAAAAAGGAGGTAAAATGTTTGGGAGCCCCTGATGTAGCTGCTCTCCATTTCTCTATAGTCTCCTCCTGTGGGTGTGGGCAAAGATAACATATTTTTTCCATCGGCTTGAGAAAACTGCACTAATTATTTGGGTTTTTCCCTTGCGTGGCTTTAGTAAGTTTTTGGCAGAGAAGGAAGAATCGTGTGGGGGAAAATACAGTGGCAGTTGTTGTTTAAGGTTGTCCCCCCTCACAGGGAACAACCATTGACTTATGCAGAAATGCCATTTCTACTTGTGTTTTAAACTGTCCAAGATGTCAAACATGAACTTTGCATCACGTTTTCTAGTTTCCCCCAGGCTCCAAAGAAATGATCCGCTTGATGTTATTATTGAAACCAATTATGAATTTCAGAAGCAAGCATTCAATTCTTTAGTTACAGAGATGTATTTTGAATAAGGCCATCAAGGGGCAGATGGTCAACACCCATGTGACAGATCCTACCCGTAGGACCCAAGGATTCCTTCCTTTTAAGACGTAATGAAAAAGAAAGGTTAATCAGGCACATTGCATTAAGCCTTCAGAAAACATGCTGTCTTGAGGGGACATGTTTAGCACACAATATGGGCCTCAGCTCCCATAATATACAGCTACTGCTGCATTAATACATGAGGGTGGCAGCAAGCTGTGCAATTACACCTGCAGAATTTAGTTTGCAGCTACCATTCTGACACAGAAAGCTAACAACAAAAATTAGAATAAATGCAACTGTACACAACAACAAGTTGACTATACGAAGAGGTGGGGGAAAGAGGTTGGAAAGCAAATTAAAAGAAACAGTGTCATCGGAGCTACCAACATGAATCTGACCCAACTCCGGGAGGCAGTGGAAGACAGGAAAGGCCTGGTGTGCTCTGGTCCATGGGGTCACGAAGAGTCGGACACGACTTAACAACTAAACAACAACAAAATTGGAAGAACAGCTTGATCTTGCATATCAGCCTTTTTCATCTTGGTACCCTCTGGTAGACTACAACAATTATCATTCCCAGTTAGCACAATCATTATGGTCCAACATATCTGGAGGACACCAGGTTGAAAAAAGTTGCTACATGGTTCAAGAAGAAGTGAATCCCAAGATGCTCACAAATAAGTGTCCATTGGCTTGCAGTTGGAGAATTCCCAGACAATGCCAAGGCAAGGAGGAGTTTTGAAGGGGACAAGTTCAATAATCTGTGGTAATTGCTGACAATACTAAGGAGCGTATGAGTACAGACCCAACTACATATTACATGCATGCCTATAATTTAGTTCTGTTGATTTTAGTATTTGGATAGATTACCAGAACCTGAATTAGAATAAAATGCTGACTATGAACTGGGGAAGAGGTGCGTAGGTGGGAATCAATTGACTTTTTTTTTACTTCTACAAGATTCTTCCCACAAGTTCATTTCAACCCATTTCTACATTGGTTTGTGGGCATTTTATGGAAGATCTGTGCCAAAGTTCACAGGTTTTCCAAGCTATTCCCCAAAAATTTTTTTGCATATGGTTCACCTTTGTTCTCTCTGGGGCACATTTTCATCTTAAAACACCATTACAGAACCTGTAAAAACACAAAACCTAAAGGATTAATTATTAGTATTGCCACATTTTGAAAATGCTTATCAGTCTGGTTCATAATAAAATTCAATTCAAACAAATACAGTCATATATTTGATTTACATTTTATTATGAACCATATCTCTAATCTTTTCCCCACTAACTTTTTTGTGTATACAGGAATTCTCATCCCTCATTCTCCCAGCTGCTTCTTCCCATTACTCAGAAGAAAATATATGGGTTTGTGTGGGAGAAAATGTCTGACAGAGTTAACTCCTTATTAGTCTAATCTACATAAATACCTAGCTGCCCGGGACTACTTTTCATTAAAAAGCAACAAATACTGGGGTTAAGTTACACATACAGTGTATTAAGATATAGTTTGAGCTCAGAGATGCTGCTCTCATGCCTATTTTTAAAACTATTTGCAGAAAATACATTCAAAGTATCCTTGAAAGGTAAAAAAAGAAATAGATGCAACATGTACTCATAAAACCCACCTGGGTCATACAAGAATCCTCATGATGAAATCAGGTAACTCTTGAGTTCATACTGTATAACATGGAAAATGCTGCACAGACAGAAGTCACAGCTTCTTCCTATTTTCTCTAGCGGCAAAAATCTGTGACCCCAAATCAGTTAGTTTAAAAAAAGCTGGATGTACACTCCCTCCCTCTCTCTTTTAATGAAGATGACACCAAAATGATGGTATCCACAACTACTTTTAGAGTTTTAATTAATTTTCTGTTTTGAAAAATAAAAACACGAATCAGGAGAAAAGCAGTAGCCTCTAAAATTAAATGTAAATTACTGATAATTTAGGACTCTGAACAGGAAGGATGGAACAAAACAAAAAACGACATTAAAAAAAGTCAAATTTGACAGAGCTGGAAGGAAGTGGCACTGATTCATCCTTTGACTAGGAACAGCACTGACACAAACCTGTGGATATCAGAATATGTTTCAGATCTCATCTGCTATTTGGCAGTAAGAGAATGCAATCAGTGCCAGCAGTTTTTATTTTAGTGATATCAACTGCTTGTTATAGCAGTTATGCTTCTAAGCAAATATCTCTCCTAAAATATGATTGACTTGAGCAAAGTCAGTTGGTTGTATACCAAGGCAGCTACCACCATCCAGACTGTATGGGAATGGCTGTAGTTAAAACAGCAGAACAGGCAACTACTGTACAGTACTTATTTTATGGTTTAGTTTGCATATTTAATGACATGCAGTTTACAAAGTAGCTCTTACAAAAATAAAATATAAATAATGGATTAACATAAGCGAATAATCTTGAGGTATTGGTTGGATTGAAGGAAATATGTTGCCATATTTTTTTTGTTAGAATTCAAATGAGAACAATTTGTAAACAGTGCTTCTCAACACAAACTCTGTCAGCCTCACCTACTGAGAGACTTCTACAGCAGCTGCCATCTTAGTTCTTACTGGGCCGCAATGAGCAGCCACCGATCAAGGAGGGGCTGCATTATTTTACTGTCCCAGAGCAAAGGGCAACATGACACATCTCTTTCAGAGGTCGATCAGACAAAACTGGCAAAAGGGGCTGTCTCATCTACTACACCCAAGGGCAATGAGCTAGCTGATAGAACACTAGGAAAGCCACACACCACACATTTCGTCTTCCAGGTCTGTATCTTCCTCGCTGACCCAGCTAGCTGTTGCCTTCCAGCATCCACCACCCCTGGAAGAAATTACTCCCCCCTGCCTTACCCTTCCAGTCTCCACACTACAACCCATCATGGTAGTGGAACACACTTTTACCATCTCACATGCCTCCCGACTCTAAGCCAACAAGTGTAACTAAATTTCATTCACTCATTTAGATCTCCATGCTAAGCAGCTCACAAAGCACTTCCCCAAGAGCCGTCTACTTTATTGTTCTTGTGGGATCCTGTAGCTTAATATAAAGGCAGAACAAATGCAGCTAAGCAGAGTAAGAGAGGAAGTTAAAGGGTCAACATTAATCAATGCTATTTGGTGCAAAATTCCACTCAAGGACTTAAAAGCACAACTATGATGGTATTAATGAGGCCAATGTCCAGGGCTCTTCCACTGTAGCAAGAATCTAACTATAGCTACTGAAGTACAGACATGGTTCTGCTTACCTGTTCATGGTACTCAATCCCCATGCTAAGTGTATTGATTAGGATAGCAATCATGATCCCACGGCCAAAATACTTGCTATCTACAATCTTCCGGAATGTCTCACAAATCACTCTCCAGAAGGCTAGAAGTTTCAAAGCTTTTCTTCCCTGGGCTTTCCAACGCTTAGGGTCTCTCTGATCAGCATAGTGAGCATCCTGGGTGAATTCATACACTCCATCGCTGTCAGAGTCTCCTGTCTCGTTATCTGTTTGCTCTGGTTTGTTAGCCAAGGTCTTGATGCAGTAGGGGCAGCTATCTGGATTGGAAGGACTGTCAGATTTCCCACCCTGGCTGGAAATCTTGCAGGAACTTTGGCAAGGACCTGAAAGAAAGACAAACAATCCCTATTAATGCGGCACAGACACGTTGTTCCTTATAGACAACCAAATGCCCTGAGTGGCACAACCAAACCAACTGAAAATTGCAATTTCCCCTTGTAGCTTTTTCCAAGGACAACCTCAATATTTCTATATCAAAAGTCTCTGCCTATCCTTTTTAATAAAGTGTTACTTAGAAACTAATCAGAAGATGGGCCACTGGGAGGTTGTGTGTATTATTATTATTATTATTATTATTATTATTATTATTATTATTATTATTATTATTATTATTATTATTATTATTATTATTATTATTATTATTATTATTTGCTCCCAGAATTCTATCTGGGGAATTGCTGAAGAATTTTGGGAATTCCAGCCCACAGACAGTTACATTTCATTCACCTGGCCCAAGGCCTACCTCAGGCCTTACTTCCTATTCGAAAAGGAAACTGCCCTGGTGCAATCCAGGGAAGCCTAGGGCTTTGTAGGAAGTGTAGGCTCACTGCCCATTAGGCTCTACAGAAGTCACCTACCAAAGAATTACACCTTCCACAAAGACATAGACCTTCCAGGAATCACCAAGTCGGTTTTCTTTTTGCATAGGAAGCAATGTCTGGGGTAGGCCTCAGTCCTGGTGAGTGACATGTAGATCACTATCTATGGGCTGGAACTCCCAAAATTCTGCCTGGGGAATTTTGAGAAAATTCATGGAGTTTATTTATTTATTTAAATGTTGGAATTGGGTTTTTTAAAAATATCTTTTACTTTTCTGAAAACTATGTTTTTGACCATTCACCAAATCGTAACAATGCCCAAATATACCTCAAAATGTACTAAGATGCCCTTTTTGAGAAAGTTTGCTGGATAATTTTGAGGCTGAGCCAAAAAAAAAAGTGTGTATGTGTGCGCACACACAAGTGATAGCCGTCCACTGCCAAGAGTTTGCAGCCGCTTCATTAAACATTTGGTCATTAAAGTAGAAGAGAAAGCAATCAGCGCTTCTGGCATCTGGAATACGAGGAGCTGTACTAATCAAAGGGCAGCACCACAGCCAGCAAACTACTTGTGGACTCCTGTGGTTTGCTGATACTTCAGCATTAACACAGTTTTTCTTAAAATAATTCTGAAATCATTTTGGTTTTCAGTGGCTGATCCAGGTGGCAGATGGTTCTCTTCCACAGGCTCCCCAATAGAAAATAAGGGCAAGAAGAGTCTCATATTGGTCTGGGCTGCAACAGAATGAAGAGTTTGTCTCTAGAAGATACTTTGAACACAACTACAATGTTAATCATATTCTGAACCTAGCAAGATAAGCTTGGCTTACTTGGGTTGTCCTCTTTTATAAAGCGGGCCTTAAGACTTTGGCTGCCTGGCCCTATCTCTCATCCAGAAAGTTTCCCTTGCTTAGAGCACTTGCAGTATATATGCATACTGGATCTTATGAAAAGTGCTTTGCAAAGGAATAATATAGATCAGTTTAGTGAAAACTATTATAGTACACTTTTAGCCTTTTGTTTCTGTTTATATGATTTTCTTGGCAAAGATACTGGAATGGCTTGCCAGTTCCTGCTCCAGAGAAGACTCCCTGGAAAAGACCCTGATGTTGGGAAAGTGTGAAGGCAACGGGAGAAGGGGACGTCAAAGGACGAGATGGTTGGACAGTGTCATCGAAGCTACCAGCATGAATTTGTCCAGGAGGCAGTGGAAGACAGGAGGGCCTGGCGTGCTCTGGTCCATGGGGTCACAAAGAGTCAGACATGACTTAACAACTAAACAACAACAACATTATAGTACACTGATAGTCATCTTGTTCATGCATTATAGAGAAAATACAGAAATGTGTAACACATGGGAATATTACCATACCTCTAGGTAAGGAAAAAAGCAAGTAAGGTATGTGTGATACAGCTATATATAATTATGCAGGATGTGGGGGAAGGGAAGTAGATAAGAGAAGAGTTTCTTCTCTCATAATAGCTAGAATCTATAACCATCCACTGAATGATTCAGGACAGATAAAAAGAAGCACTTTTTCTCACAATGCATGGTTCAAATGTGACTTCACTTGAAAGGCAAAAATAAAACCAGACAAAGCCAAGCCATCCCAAAATTAAGTCTCAGTTTTCTCCTAGATCTTTACTGATGAATAGCTAATGTATGTCATAGTTCTGAACTCTAAAACAAAAACTCACTGAATCGTCCAGGTATCATCATTTTACCTCAACCCGTATTTTTTCAATCACAGTCCAGATGGAATAGCCAAGACGGGGGAGAAAAATCTCTCAGCCTTAAAACTTACCAGTGCTCTGTGTCTCCAGTATTTTTTGCATTGGACTATAAGGTCCTGGTGGGATGTTCAGGTTCATCAGGGTGCTAGTCCCAGGGTTCAAGGTGAGTTCTCCTAAACCCTTTTCCTTCAGTAGCTCATGGGAGCTACCTGGGCGCACAGTAGGATACACCTTGGTGCCAACCAGAGTCCTGGGAAGCACCTCTGGTCCAGGTAAGCTGAGACCAGGCTGAGAGAGAGATGATCTGCAGTGAATGGGCTCAAAATGACAGTCCGCATGGTAGATGCTGTGAACCGATTCAGTGTTGCTGGAAGCCGCATGAGGATTGGCTGTTGGCGGGAGCATCAGCCGATTGGCACCATTATGAAGTGAGCTGGTGTCAACATCACTAATTTCAGGACTGGCACGAGGTGCCTGTAGGCTACCATTCCCCAGATGATAGTGGTGGTGATGGTGATGATGATGGTGAATGAGGTGATGCACGGATGACCTTTTCCGTGGCAGATGCTTGCACGACTGTCTCTCAACACTGCTCTTGCTTCCAGGGCTGGAGAGAAGTCCCATTTTCACCCCTGCCATCTGATAGACTTCCACTAGTTGTTTGGTGGCCTTACGAAGGACGTGCACAAGATACTTGAGGAGCTCATCATAGCAGCTTCCAGGTTCCGAAAAGCTAGCCAGCGTGCTTGCATTGGAGAGGTAGCGGATCCTCTGCTCCTTCATCAGTTGACTTTCCCGCTGCTTGGTCTCTGAGAACTGAGTTGCAATGACCACTAAGCAGAGGTTTATCATGAAGAAAGAGCCCACCTAAAAAGGAAAGAAGGGTATATGATCAGCCCCAAAACTACAAACCACAAGGAGGTGACCGGGAACACATGTGTCTGAGAAAGTACAGTACAGGGTTTTGACAATGTCTTTCTAAAACAAATGCCAGAACTCTAAACAATTGGGTGTGTGTGTGTGTGTGTGTCAGGAACCCTACATGAAACTCCTGAACATTTAATCTTAGGTGATCCAGACTGGATCCAGAATGTCAGTTCCATATTTTACATTTCTACACAGAAGTAGGCATCACTCAGTTCAATAGATCTTTCTTTCAACTGAGATTGCAATTCCTTAGTTTCTTCTGAAAACAATAGGAATGATGTCAAAGCTTGCTTGTCTCAGTAACTTCAATGGGACACAAGTTAATCTCTGTCTTCACTCTCAGCCTGTATTCCCTCCCCATCATGCTGCATGCAGGTTTGTAAAAAAGCTTCCCACTGTCTCTATTAAGTGTAGATAGCAGACCATGATTGTTCTCCTTCAAAGAAAGAAAACTAGCTCCTATAAATACCTCTGAAAAACACACTGCAGACCAACAAGACAACCTTGGTTCTATATTGGGTGTGTGAGTGGGCCACAATCTCTTTGCCATCACCACCCCCACCACTGCTGCCCTTTCACTTGCCCTCGCCTTCTGAAGCCAGCCTGCACTGCTCACTCTTCAAACACACCCAGGACACCCAGATGAACAAACTGTGATGTCAAGCAGAAGCAGCATGGTCAGGATACATAGGATCCAGCAGCAGGGTGGGGTGGGGAGCTACTGTGTGGCTAGCCCTCCATCAAGGCAAATCCCTCTCCCATATTATACGAAGAGATAGGTAAACCACAGGTCTGAAAGTCACTCAAGGAGCCTGCACTTGAAAAAAAAATTCAGCATGGGAAACAGCTCACAACAAATACTGGTTTTGTGCTGAGATTGGGAAAGTTACCTTTTTTTGGATTGAAAAAATTCTTTGGGATTGAAAAAATTCTCCATTTTTTTGGCCCCTGGCTACATCACCTGGGAAAACCCACGAGCTGGAGCCCCAAACATAACTCTCCCCATTCGGGATTCTGGCAATAGTGTCAAACGCATTCCTGGTCAAGCACTGCTGCCACCGCTGCCTGCCGTGACTCACCCCGTCCTGCCTCCCTTTCTTCCACACCAAAACCTCTCAAGCTTTCCCACCTCAGGGACTCCTACTCTTCAGCTCCATGGATGGCAGGATGGTATCACAGCTCCAAGTAGAATAGGGATTTATTCTCATTTAAAAGGTTTTCTTTGATTTTTTGCTTCTTGGTAGTCTGTGCTTATAATTATCACAATTAAGCAGCCTTCCTCCCCTTTTCTGGGTATGTGTGTGCATGTATTCACTGGAAACCTTTTCATGGCAGATTCTTACAGAGGAGCTGGCAGCTTTTGTGAACAGATCTTCTTTGTTAGCTGGAATTGCAGGGATGTTCCTACCCAACAACAGCAGCTGTCTGCAGCCAAAGATTTGATAATTTACTCTGGAACAGGCTTTTCATTAGGCTGCATTTTTAGTAGATTATGATCATTATTCAGTCTGAATGTTTTGAAAAACAGCCAATAAGCAGTCCTTCTCTCCTGGCTACTTTAAACCGACAGGATGCACTCTGCATTCATGCCATCTCAGCAGCAGAAAGACGCTGATTCACCTTGCTTGGTGTTGCTGTCTTTGTGGATGCCCTGAGGCTGCACAGCTGAACTCTGTCCAGCTGTGGGAGGTGGGGGGGGAATATATGTAAATCTAGCCAGTCTGCTTAAGTATGAGGATAGCAGGGAGTGGCCCATGCAATGCAGGTCATCTAACTTAAGACCATATCTTTGGGCTCTGACCCCAAAGCCAGTATGCTTGACAGACTACTGTAAGGCAGAGTTTCATGTCACCCATGCTTCAGGAAACATTTTATATGTCTTTGGGCTCTGACCCCAAAGCCAGTACGCTTGACAGTAAGGCAGAGTTTCAAGTCACCCATGCTTCAGGAAACATTTTATATGTGGTAGGTGTTTCATTGATGATGGTGATGATAGTGGTGGTAATGATGATGATGATGATAGTCGTAAGAGTGTACAAGATAATAATGCTGTATTAATTTTAATAAATACATGTCCAGATAACCTACTGTTAAGACCCAAGTCAGCCCAACCCTATCTAGATGGGAGGGGTGGATAGCGATTGCCCCCATGTCTCTGGCACCTCGCCTGCTCTGGCCAGTCCCCAGAATTAAACAAAATGTGTGGCTTGTTCCCTTTCTCCCTCCTCCTCCATGGCTCTGCTTCCTAAGTCTCCAGAGTCCTCTGTTAGGGACTAAGTGGGAGCTACAGAGCATGTGTGATGGCTCTGCATCTTCCAAACATTTTTCAAGGACTTGGGAGACACTCAGAAGGCAGGAGAGGTGGCCAGAGAAAGCCAGGGGATGGGAAGAAACAACCTCCATGCTCCTCCCAGGCAGACCTACTCAGGTTTCCTTTGCCAGAGCAGAACCCAGAACTTTTAGGAGTTTTATTTCAGGAAGCGTAAAGGGGATGAGCCTCAAGATGCCCACAGCCAATCTTGACTAGCTTTAACAAATAAAGAACATAAATTGCTCCAGCATCTGCCTTGTACAGGAGACAGCATGCTGAGGAGGGAGGGGTGACGGTGAAAGAAATATAGAATGGGGAGGGAACCAAGGGAACCATGCTTTCTACATGTGGGATTGGGGACAGTTTGTGAATTTTCTGGGTACTGGGCATGTCTTCTCTGTGTATGTTTTGGGATGTGTGTGTGGTTCGGGAAGAACTTCCTTTTGGGGGTTAAGGGTGGAGTGCATGTGCATTTTTCAGGGAAGTGACTGTATATATGCATGCCTTCTGGGGTGGGGGAGCTTCTCCCACATTTCAAACAAACAAATTATTCTTTCATCTAGCCTCCTTGAATGTTACCTGCCATGCTGTACACCCTTTCTTTCCCCACATACTTGCTTTATATAGATATTGGGGCAAGGAGGGGAAAAATCATTGTTATATTTTCAATTGTTTTATTTTATATGTTGTACGCCGCCCAGAGTAGTCTATTGACTAGATGGGCGGGATATCAATCAATCAATCAATCAATCAATCAATCAATCAATCAATCAATCAATCAATCAATCAATAGAAATGTAGAAGATTCTGGTATGCATGCAGTAAGAACTGTGGGATAGCTCAGTGGCTTAGGTATTTGGCTGCTATGCCAGAGGTTAGGAGTTCGATCCCCCACTGTGCCTCCTTGACACGGGCTGGACTCGATGATCCATAGGATCCTTTCCAGCTCTGCAGTTCTAAGATTATATTATATTAAAGGAAATATATGGGTGACTTAAGGCCACAACAGAACCATGGCTTGTCAATAGGCTTTATGAGCAAAAGATCCAAGAGGGAATCAAACCATCATCTTTTTCTTTTGATTGATTGATTGATTGGTTACTGCAGATCAAACTTTAAGGTCAGTTAGCACCAGCCATATGTGTAGTGTAGTGGGAAATTTCCCCCAGAGCTGCTTCTCTCTCTAGCAATATCAGGATTCAATTTTTTAAATAATGAGAATTAAAAACATGGCGGATTTGAGAAGGAATATGCAGAAGCTTCTGTCACTGACAACAAGTAGTGTAAGTTCATCACTTCCTTGCTTGCATGCTAATATCTCTATTTTAGAATACTTTTGGACTAGATCTATTGCTAGGAGGAGACCAACTCCCTCCAGTTCAGTTTTCTACTATGTATTCCAATCTCCTTCCTACAAGATGCTTTTCCAGCCCATTTCCCTCTTCCTGGTGACATCTGTGTATTCATGGTTGCCAGAAAGACTGGAAAGAGAACTCACAATGATCAGGAGAATGAAATAGATGAAGTTGTAGAAGGAATGGGCATCCATGACGAAGTACATGATATCCACCCAGCCCTCCAGAGTGATGACCTGGGAGAAAGCAAAAGGAAAGGATGATTAGCTTGTCTCAGAGGATACAGGTCTGTAAATAAGAAGGAGGACAGTCACACTACTATGTACACCCAAGGTGATACAGCAGTTCATGGGATTATCTCGCAAAATAGAGGCAACAAAGAACACACACCAATACAGCAACTTCAATAAGGAAATCCAGTGATTATCATTCTTAGCATACTTTGGCTGTGCTTATAGGCAGGGTCCAAACATTCTTTGAGGGGCAGGCAGACTGGTAAAATGTAACACAGCCCCCCCCCCCCCCCCACCAGTCCTCTATCCCATTCATGTCCTTGGGCATGATCTCCAGTTCACCTCAATATCTTCTTCATAGTAACATGGATTTAGCCTGGGATAACTCCCTTTGGAACCTCCAGGCCCCAGTACAGTCTACCCTTTCTCCTGACAGGGTAGGACAACGAGAGTACAATAGCCTAAGGAAAAATATCACCATCTAAGGAGATGCTGGATAAACAATTATAGGCATCTGTACTTGACTGGAAGAAGATATGCCAATCTTATTATTCATTTTTGGTCCTCTGTTAGCAATAGAAAGCTTAAGAAAGTACAATAAATGGATATACCCTCAGGAACTGAGGCTGGGCAAAAAGTGGTTTATAAAAGTTTGGTAATTGTATTTATCTGAATTTAGCATGCACTTAGCATAGGTCCATAGGGAAGACAACAACAGGGGGATTCAACCTGTGTTCCTTCTTCCATTATTGTAATGAAAGAGGGGCTATTTTGGAGCAAGACTGAATGTTGCTCTAAGTTTCCTCATTACTGAAGGACAGCCTATGGGCAGAGTGAGCTGGCCACATAAATCCCATTGTTCACCTGAAATATTGCAATCCACGCATATCCAATGTTATCAAAATTGATTGCTCCTTTGAAAGGGTTGTGTTCCCCAGCAGAACAGTTTGTATAGTACTGGTTCCAGTTGACACAAGAAGTATTACTGGTGTCATTGTAGGAATAATAGTCCAGTGTACATTCCAGTCCTTCTTCCCTTCGTTTGGGGATACTGCGGCAGTAGCGCATCCCGTTCTCCCGGGGCTGGGAGCAGATGAAAGGGCTCTCGTCTTCATTCTCTGTCTGGTAGTACGGTTCCAAGTCGACTGTGTAAGGGCTTAAACAGAGCAAAGATGTGACAGGTTATACACACAAGAGCATGAAGGTAATGACAGAACCAAATAAGGGGCTGTTACTGTTTACATTATGAGAAATCGGGACAGCACACCGCCATTAGCAGTCAACCTAAAATCTAACAAGAGAGAAGGATGTATTCCTGTAACCAGCAGGGTAGCCTATGAAACTCATGATCCTGAGATGTTCCACAAGACTGTAGGATAATTGGGTTGAGACAAGACAATTAGACAAATTAATTGAGGATAGGACCATTTTTATTGTCCGAGAGTAGAATTTCATTTTTTTTAAGATAGCTCTAAATTGATGATGTTTTGAAGTTCAAAATGGACGTCAGATAACATAGCACTCAAAAATGCCCTATTTTTTTCCTTGAACAATTTTATCTTAACTACCAGGAATTGGCCGTCATCAGAGATAGGCTATGCGGCTGGATGGACCACCTTTACTGACCTCTATACAGCAATAATTACATCTTTGTGAGTTGCATAGAATATCTAAGTTATTCGAGACAGGCAGGATCCAGAAACTATCTGGTGGCTGGATAATTATTAGGGTATATCAATGAAAAGGAAAGAAATGCCCAAAGCCCCAGCTCTTAGAAACTTGGCAATAGGGTGCAAACCAATAGGTGACTGCCGATTCTAAACATGCCTGCTTGAATTGAATTGTTGCTGAATCGTGAAAGATTATTGACTCCAGGCTTTGCAACTTTAAAACTAGTGTTGCTCTTTGAAAATAAATAATTTCCTCCCTATACCTCACAGATGACATACCTCCACAAGTTGGAGCATACTGCTGCAAAGCAAGAGGCTGTGAGTGCAAAACCCCATTGTACCTTCCAGGTGATGAACCAGCCAAGATCACCTGGAGTGTGGTAGCTGAGGGGGTGAGAGGCCCTGCCAGTGGTCTGGCTTTGGGCAGGCTGCATAATTCCAGACCATCACCAAAAGGAGGGGCTGATAAACCACTTCTGCGTACTCTATAGGTACTGTACCTACAAAACCCTATGAGAGTTGCCATAACTATAGGTACTGTGCCTACAAAACCCTATGAGAGTTGCCATAAGTTGGAATCAATTTAAGAGTACATGATTTTTATATATATTTACATTTCTCTTATCTAGTTTTCTCAGTTAAACATCACTCCATTGAATTAAATGTCCCATATCCCCTTCTAGAGTTAAGGTAGACACCTGTCTGGTTTTAAACTAGCATTTTCCCCTTATACTGTTGGGAGAATGCGATACCTGGTAGTGTTTCATGCAAGTACTATACTGGCCTAAACCTGATTAGCTTCCAGTTATATCAAACAAAGCTGGACATCTTCAAAGTGGCATGCTAGTAATACTGTCAATGTGCATTTTCAAATGTTGGGGTATTTAGATGCATTACAATGTGAAACCCAAACTTAACAGAGTGTTTTTCAAACTTGAAGAAGGCCCTACAGTGGGCAGGAGCTGTGGGCCTCACAACGTCCCATCGCATGACAAGCACCGTTTCTGTTTTCTCGTGTTCTTCACATTAGAAATAAAAATTATTGCACATGATGCTTCTAGTTAAGGAGCCACCTCAAGACACTCATTCTGATATGGAAAGAGAAGGGCATTCTGGCTTGTTGAATATTAGCATCCTCCCTCCTCAAGAGATGGCTACTTCACTAATGCCAGTGAGGATCAGGGTAAAGCTTACAAAGCTCTATTTAAGACAAGTTCATAGTTAATTCCTGAGGTATTGCTTTTAATACCATTAAAAGCTTAGCTACATGCCCCTCCCCTGTGTTCTGGTTCAATTATATCGCACTCAAACCACTAGCTTCTTGGGATCTACCCATATAATTGATCAGTAGTTCATTAATCTTATTGTCAATTTGCCTAAAGAGATTTTCCATGATAGTGAAAGCTGAGTTTCCTTTAGGAAATGATGGTGAATTTTAAAAACAATTGCAAAAGAGTCAGCAAAAAGAACAGAACACAAGCCTGGGTTCTCTGCTAGTATTTTGAGGGCTGCCTCTCACATAGTTTAGTCCTACTTATACCTTCAAAGACACAGGATGGACATTTTCATAGTACCATGAGAAGCTGCATTGTGAAATTTTTCACTTTTACATAACAGCGAAAAGATGAAGATTTCTTTTGCAGAAGAACCTTTGTAAAACAAAACAAACACCCTAAATTTTGCCTAAAAAGAAAAAAAACCACAAAAAACCCCACACACCCATGTGAGGATGCTGCACAAAATACTGTACAACAGGATCTTATGCAACCCCTCATCCTTGCATTTTGCAAAAAGAAAAAAAAGGATCCAAAATGCAAAATAACTCTTACGTTCCTATTCAGTAGGAGAAAACTTGAAATTCTACATCTACATTGTTATGATACTTCCTCACTGAAGGTGGAGGCTGGTAACATGACAGAGTCCAGCATGATCAAACTTTATACCCTTTGCACATTTATTGTGGCAACTAATAGTATTTAATATTGCCAGCAGCATAACACTTGGGCCAAGGCTAATGTCACTTAATATTTATAGTGTTTCTTTTAGTTATTTATCCCCTAATATGGGTCTAAATGGGCATGGATGCAAACTGCATAACTGAAACTATATTTTCAACCTCTCGATGAAAGACAAAGGTTGGTATTCACTCTAAGACCCAGCAGCTGAAATCCAAAGATCAATCAGCCTTGCCTAGTGTAACTTTGTGCTACTGGGTATCAGTATGTATTTTATAATGCGATTGCTATTACAATGCTTCAACATGCACTCCACCCAAAACTTCCAAAATTGAGCTGCTCACTAAAAAAAAAAACACACCAGTTTCTTCTTGAAAGGTTATTTGCTTTTATTAATACCTTCAAAACCCTCCACATCCAACTGAAGTGTTTGTTATAACCTGCAAGTATGAAATAAGTGAAGCATGCTGGACTAAGAATGGCCAACATAACGTATTGTATGTCATCAGTCACAGATGAATAAAAACCTCTCTGTATCTTAAGGAATGTTTTATTATTTGTTGCAAACACTCTATTACTTATGAACTACTTATATTTTTGTGGGATTTGGATGTGCCTGTATTATCCATTCTGAATCCTGTTGCTCTGAAGAGAACTAATGTAAGGAAGACAATCTATGAATCATCCAGCAAAAATAGAATATAAATATAGCACAGCACAAAAGACAAAGCAGTAATATAAATAGTGGGGCATGAGATAATGAGTGCCAACCAAATTTACTTGGTTCCTTGTACTTCCCAGGTGGTGCCCTCCCTCCTTTGGGCCCAGCAGTTTAGAAAGCAGCCTTTGAATGCCAGCTTCTTGTTGCAGCCTTCAAATGCCAGCTCCTCTCACTGTGCTGTCTGAGGCAGACTGCTTCACTCTGCTGTATTGCTACATCCAGGAAAGCCCTGGATATAACAAATGTACAGTATGACCATATACAGTCCACAGTTTGGGTTGCACATGTTATACTAACCAGCTATGAAGTTTTAGTTTGGACACTTTATGTAGGTCAGATATAGGGTAGACACCTGAGGCATGAAATACAGAGGGAAGGGACTTAGGATGTTGAAAAATGAGTGGTAAGCTCCCTTCTTAAGACTCAATAAGGGAGAGATTGTCTCAGACTCCAAGGATATCTTTGTTGAAACTCTTTTGAGCACCTGTTCTGTCTGATTCCTCTTCCAGGCTGAAAATGGCTGAGGAAAAGCAGATCTGGGAATGAGGTCTTTGCCCACAGTTAATGTTGGGAGGGCCTTGGCAGATCATGAGAAGGTTCTGAATTCTCACCCATGAAGATAGGCAGACAGAAAAGCCTCAACAAGAAGGAGCAGATAATGTTCACTTATCACCCCACAGCTCGCAGCTGTAACCTATCAAGACTTTGACTCAGTGGTGGGTTGAATACATTTTGGGAGTGCTCTCTGTGTGGTTTCTGAGGCCTCAAACACAACTTCTCCCACCTCCACTCCCAAAGCTGCTGCTCTCAAGTGGGTTCAAGGATGAGAAACCATTTGCCATCAGGCCAAGTTTGACTCACCAGACCTCCCCATTTGGCACATAAGGCATTAGTCAAGCCCCTCTTTAAAGTCTCCAAGTATTTGAGAGACCTACTTCTGCTAAGCCATGGCCTCATGGTATGGTTTTCAAGGCCACAGTCCTGTTGGCTTTGCATTGAGCAATACAAGCTTGTCCATACTCTGCAGCCAATCGTTTCCCAGTAGTCCCTGCCATGTAAGACAAGGCAGATAGCAGCAAAGAAGAGGGCCTTCACCAAGCTGGTACTGCGCTTATGGAGATTTCTTAGTGCCAAAATGGGCCACTGTATTTCCCCATACTTTTAAACTTTCAATCTTATCAGTCCTGTTTTCTATTGCTTTTATCTGCTATTATTAGATTTCAGCATTTTACTAGCAAATTACAATGTCTTTGATTATTTTGTTTGTAAGCTGCCTTAAAAATAGAGTGTGTATCAATCTAGCTCTGTACTGCTTATTACGATTGGCCACAGATCTGCAGGTTCTTGGTCGTGGGCTTTTCCATCATGTGCTACTTGATACTTATCCATAGGGACAATTGGGTACAACATGGGTTTGCGAGATCCCCATGACTTCTCTCTCCTCTGTGTATGCTGTGTGCCTCCCGTGCACAGACGGACGTCCTCCACCTTTGCCATAGGAGGGTCCACAAAGGGTCTGTGCATGAAAATGGTAGTGCTTTAGGAAATGAGCATTTTCATTTAGAGAAAATTCTCCTCTACCTGCACCTACAGAACAACTGTACAAGCATATCCCCAAAACATGCAGCATATCTCAGTGAAACTTACAAACTGAAGTTTTCTGGTAGGAAGCAACGGTTCCTGAGCAGGCCAGCCCACAGCTGTACTCCAACGATGCCAAAGATGAAGAAGACAAAGAAACAGAGGAGAAGGACATTCCCTAACATGGGAAGGGTATCTAAAAGCAGTGTTACCAGGATGCGCATACCTAAAAGAGCAAAGTTAAAAAAAAAAACAACCAGAAGTTAAAAGGGAGACGTTCTCATAGTACACTCTCTTTTGCTTCCACCACCCTTTTGCTGCCTCTGGGTGTCTGTATTTGCTCCTTCACTCAGGCCCCTTATATCACGCTCTGCATAGCTAGCCCTCAGGTTCCGAACTCAGTGCCACTCAGCTTGAATAGAACAAACAAGGCTTTATTAAAATAAAGACCTTGTGATTGTATTCTCCTGCCTTGCAACTCCACTACAACATTGTTTAGGATTCAGCCTGAGGCCTAAGAGAGAGCTACTGCACTAATGACAAAGGAGCGCTTTATGCAAGGACTCTAGAACATGAACATGGGAAGTGTCCATGAGGTCACACCTCATGAAAAGCAGCTTTTAGCTATTATAGCCATTGTTCAGAACACTATCCTGTGGCAGAGATTTTTAGCCACTCCATGCCAGGACTGAAACCTATGAAGAGCCGCAGGGTGGGACCTATATAATTAGGTAGGGTGAAAATCCTGTGCACAGGTGGCATCCTTACTATGAAAAGATAGCACGTCAAAGACTGGGTTTATTGCTCGATGGTTTGCTTTATTATTAGTTTATTACCCACAGTAGGGAAGTAGAGTTTTCACACTACACTCCGTATGTGCTTTTGCGAGTAGGAATATGTGAAGGAAGTGGGGGAGGGCTCTTTGTTAGTTTCCCTTCTGAAACTCCCTGTCCTCTTTTTACAACTGAATTGCAGGTGCCACATTTTTTTATGGCAATCATATTGTTCCTTCAACTGTAGCAGTAGAAAAGCTATTAAAAAAAAAAACTGGGGAAAGTTTCTCCCTCACTGCAAATCTTTATTCTGAGGGGAAAAAATGTCTCTGTAGGCTTGCAAATGTCACAGGATCCCAGCCAAAAAAAAAAGCTGACCTCCGTTGTTCCACCGCTTCCTTCTTCCAGCCTTACACTCACAGACCCCTCTCTACTGCCTTCATTCCTAATGCAACCTGTAAAAGGGCTCTTGTATATAAAAATCAATAAACTCTCCATCCCTCTCCTAATTCCAGTCTGCTCATTTAAATCCAGGCTCTGCAAATATGCAGGATTTTACAAGACAGCTCATTCGCACACGGTCAGAGACATTCAATTCTATAACAGAAAGACAAATTGATGGTGACTTGACTTGACATTTGCACACAAAAAAATTTCATCCAACATCTTTGTAATATTTAGTTCATTCTTCTCTCTCCCTCTTTCTCGTTTATTCTCTCATTTCCTTGATTTGTTCATTCCTTTTTGTGCCTTATTTTAAAAAAGCATTTAATGTCATTTCATTTATTTTAATATCTCAAGACTTGCATTATTATGAGTTCAGATCACCTGTGTTTTGATTTTCACTTTTCCTGCTGAAAAACCAAGGGCCTTTTTTTTTTTTACACACCCGCGTACTATCTTTAGCATATTCCTGGTTGACCTGCAGCAGCTCCCTGCATTTATTATTGATTCAGCCTTGTTTCTTGGTTTCTTCCCTACGTTTCTATGCAGTCCCATCTTTGCTATACAGTAACACAGATAAATTACTCAGGATTTGCAAAAGACATTAAGTGAATTACATCCACAGTTAGGCAGTGGCAGATACATTTAGTCATCCATCAGCTCTGCTGAAGGAGGAGGGAATTACAAGGGAGGTTCTCAGTCCATGAAAGGATAAAAGCAACAACAACAAACAAACAAGAGGGAACATCCTGCCAGATTAAGTTCAATATAATGGGATGAGAAAAGCAAACAGAGCCTAGGAATTTCCGGCTTTTGACAGATGGATCAAGGTCTGAATACTACATGTTGTCAAGGTAACGGGCTAATTTGACAAAATGGGTCTTTCCCCCACATCCCCAGCTTAGTGCTGGAAAGCACTTCCCTCCACATTGTATCGTGAGGGGCAGAACTCAATTCCTGAAATTATTTAGGTCATCCCAGAAACACTGAACTAAAGATATAAACTTAAAGGCATATACGATTTCATTATTGTTCACACAGTCTCCTGAATCCTGATGATGCACTATGACACAGGGACCTTATTTAAAACGTCTTCAGGCTTAAAAAGAAAGAGAAAAAGAAAACTAAGTTTTCTCATTAAAATAATGTAAGGGAAAAGAAAATAGAAACTAAATGTTATAAAAATATTTGGCCAGTAATTGGCAGTCACTTTTGATTCCCAGTGTGAGAGAGGAGTCCAAAATAGAAACAATAAAGATGCATGCATTATATCAAAAATCTGAGAAGGTCAATCTACAGACATAGTCACTTTACAGGGGCAGGATTGTGCTGGTCTTATTTTTGTCCATTAGTCAGGTTTTCGTGCATGATTTACTGCACCATGTGTATGGATTATTTAGTATAAACATATCTGCCTTTGAGAAAGAATTTCCCCACAAGGAAACTTAAAAATACCAACATAGACCAACAGAGTTAGACACTCTGAGCAGAAAAATGTAAGAAAGTCTCCAGGTCAGGTAAAGGGCTGGGAATGCGATCTCGACTGATTGTTGCTGCTCCTGCTGGTGGCGGGATAGGGCCTAAATGATCCATAGGGTTTCTTGCAGCTCTGCAGTTCTAAGATGATGATGATGATGATTCAAAAACTCCAGGCACAGTCAAAAGTATAAAAAAAACTTGACTGGTATTATATAACAGATACAAGTTTTAAGCAGAAACCTATGTGTTAAATATCGATGCAGTATGTATGCTGTTCCTAATATTGCTGGAGGTTTGTAGCTATTGTTGTTGTTGTTATTATTATTATTCCTTTAAAATAAGAAACTTATGTCAGTTCTCAGAAAAGGCTTTATCTGCGTGCTCTAAAACTGTAATGGACAGCTTTATACCTTCCACATGCTTTGGAGTACAACTCCCATAATTTCTAGCCAGTAGCCATGTTGTCCAGGAGGGGCATGGAAACTGTGGTCCAAAACATCTGGAGAGCATCAGGTTGCCTATTTGTACTCTACCTATATATTTCATGCACACATGCATGCATCTGGCATGTAGATGTGCATGTACATGTATGCACCCATATTCACACTCACATGCACATATACACAAGTTCTAGTCTCCTTTTTTTTTCTACACACATTGCTGAGAGTTCCAAACCAACTTTTAATTCTCTTACACACTGACTCATACGAGACACATTTTGAGAAGGACTGTACAGGAAGGGAAGCAGTAGAGAAGAAAAGCGAAGGCATTGAGAAACAAAATAGCAAGTCTTCATCTCTCTTCTTTGATTAATGAGTCACTCCTTTTTGAGGATAGGACTGACAGGAATGGGCTATTCATTAAAAGAAGCATACTGGCATTCACAGCTCACATATAGAATGGCAAACACAATAGCAGTTGGCACAGGCATGGGATGTTGTGAAGTACGTTAAATGGAATTTTGGAAAAGATGTAAGGTATGTCTCTCATCCGTCTAGTTCCAGATAATCACAGATAAGGAATTGGAGTCACAGGGAGGGGGAGAAAGAAGGGGGAAAACAGGTTCAACTTACTGGGAACTCTGTTAATAGCTCTCAAAGGCCGGAGTACCCTGACAGTTCGAACAGCTGAGAAACTGACATTCTGCAAGTCCAGAGAATATTCCAGCATGCTGCAAAAAAGAGAAGATGCCACAAATAAAAAGGAACACATCAGAGTTGTTTCTGAAAAAAAAAAGCAGAAAAACTTTTCAGATCAAACATTTTGTACGTGATGTTCAGGGGAAAAAAAATCTCCTTAGCTCGACTTCTCCTCATGAAGAAAGAAAGGGTCCTGGAAGGATTAAGGGAGAGTAATTTGCATAGCAGAATAAAAATTCATGCAGAAAAAAGTATTCTATAATGCTTCTTTTTCTTCTAATCATATGTATCTTGGTTCTTCATTTGCAGGAAAGCCTGTGAGGAGAAATAAGTTCCAAGTAGTATTATTTTGCTGTTAAAAAACAGGACCAACCACAAACTCATGCTCACAGTGTACAGTATAAGTAATATGTAGGACTGGATCCAGATTTACACTTAAGAGTAGTCCCATTGAAATGATAGGAGTTAAGAGACCCATGCCTTAATTTACTTAAAGTTAGTTCAATCAAGACAAACATAAGCCCCATTGATTATAATAGGATTACTTTAAATTTGACTAATTCAGGATTGAACCCAAATTGACCATTGACTGCTGGGTAAGTCCTTCTCAAGTCCATTTGCATTAATTTTCATCAGTTGTTTTGTTTCATTACTATCCAAACTTCCACTGCCAAGACTACTTAATTCTGTATCCTTATACAAATCATGGCTATTTTCAAATGCTTTCACTAGCATTACCATCCCTTTTTGGACCTATCACAACATTTTAGTTTTTATCTCTATCATGCTAGCATCTGTTAGTCTCAGAAAAGTATTAGATAACTATATATAAGGAGCAAAAAATTATTATACCTATAATCAAAGAAAGACCTTGCAGAGACCTCTCTGGCCATTAATACAGCAGAGGCAAAAATATTACACATCTATATGGCAGACTGAATCCCCCCCCCCCGTGAATTGGGAATCAGAATATGCATTAATAAACCAGATGCAAAAGGATGCCTTGCATTCTTCATTCTCACTGTCTCTCATGAAAATGGTTTTTAATTTTTTAACAAAATATATCTGCATATATTTTTTGCTCCTTTCTTCATGTCATCCATACAAGTACCCTCTTTTTCAATTCAGAGGGCAGCTACATAAATACTGTATATAATACAAGAATTACGCCAAGATTGGGGTGGTTAGATTTAGAATCTGTTCTGTTCATTACATAATGTGCAAGTCAATGGAAATCAGCCTGGAGGTTTCTCCCCACCCCCAAATCCAAAGTGTTTTCCTCCATGATCGGGGCTTCTCCTTTTCGGGGGGCAGCAAATACACTCACATCAGTTCAAGCAATGTGACTGCTTGCACCAATATGTACAATTTGACCCTTTTATGGAGGGGTTTGCAGCTGTTCTATTTCAAGCCATTCCTCCTGGCTACAGAAGCAGTGGGGCAGGGCAGCAGGTCCATTCAGATGGGAAACTGATGCTTGAATTGCCTCCTTCCCAGACTTCGTGCTTGGGTTTGCTTGATTCTCTCTTCCCTCCCCATTCTCTTCTCTTCTGTTCCATTCTGTTCCCTTCCTTTTTCCTTTTTCTAAGGCTTGGTGCTATTGTGCTAGGGCATCTAGGAGACTAAAGGGAAAAACTAAAAGCAAGGAGTTGTCAGAAAGGGAGGAAGAAATTGTTAATTAGCTCTTGCAACTTATTAAGGCCTCCTGCAAATCCGGACAGCCAAAACAGAGCTAACTTAACAAACTGCAAACAAGACTGATTGCTAGTTTCCTCCACTCTTTCTGCCAACTCCTGTATGGTTTGCTAAAGCAAATTCACTCTGAGAAACCCAGCTTCCTGGATGCATCTTCGACTCCTGTATGGTTTGCTAAAGCGAATTGAGAAACCCAGCTTCCTGGATGCATCTTCACAGCAGACCCTTTCACATTTCTCCTGCTGTATATTCACACCCTCAATTACCCTCAGCCAACCTCAGGTCTCCTGTGCAATCAAACACTCCACTCTTTCTCCCTGTTGGCAAGCAACTCATTTCCTGAATAAGGGTGTGGCACATATGGACAAATTTGATTTATGTACTTGATTGTGAATTTTTCAATAGAAAATCAGCACAAATACACATAAGTATTTTTGATTGCATTTATCTCAATCGACACACTTTGTTTGCATCTTTTTCTCCTGTACACACTTTTGTATGTCTTTTTGTTTAAATCAGGAGATTCTGTACTACAAAACTGGGAGATGTACAACTGAAGGAATATTGTGTTCTGGCTCCTGCATTCCTCCAGGAATAGTAAATCAGTTTGCATGAAAAATGAATGTCTCTCGCACCAATACTGTGTGGTGCCAGGTTTCTCCCTTCCTCCAAATCCTTTATCATAAGAAGTGGCACACACGTGGACTAAATGAGAAGGGCTGCTGTTTCTTTTCTGGTATCCATTCCCTTCAGCAGCTTTCTCTTTTGTTTTGCCCATTTTCCTTATCATCTTCCACAAGAAACAAGCAGGAATATAATGTAGAATTAAGTTCTAGATGAAACAGCTGTGTAGCTTTAAATGCTGGAAGCTTTTCCAGTGATGCTAATAAAATGGATTTGAGAAACAATTATTTTCAGAGGAGTGTCTGTCTGTACTGCTCACAAAACGAATAAAACACTTGCCTGGCATTTTGAAAGTGACAGTGTATTCATTTCTTTTCTACCTTCACATAGTGGTGGGAGAGGTAGAGGAAAGATGACTTGGGAAGCATCCCTGAGCATCTTCAAAAACAGCTTTCACTAGGATACCAGAAACCAGCAGAAAGCATAAACTGCATCTGCAGAGCACAACCTCATGGAGTCTACCCAAGAAACCGCATGGTTTCCCACATTTCCTTTATTGAAATATCGCTACTTGTACCTTCTAATCATCCAAACATCCCTTACACGATCATCTGAAGCCAGAAAACATGCTTCTTAAATTAAATTGGTTATCTGAATTATTGCTCAGAGAGACAGATGTCGCTTTAGACAAGGGAGGAAAACCTGTGGCCCTCCAGATGTTATCACAAAAGGGAACTTGTGGCTCTCCAGATGTTGTCAGGCTTCAAGGTCCATCAGCTCCAGCCAGCATCACCACAGCTCAGGATAATAGGCATTCTAGTCCAACAAAACCTGGAGGGTCACAAGTCCTTGACAGCAAAGAAAACAACTTCTTACGTTACTGAACAGCAAATGAAAACTGAAACACATGAATAAAAGAGAGGTTGAAGAAGGAGAGGACAGGTCATGGGACCGCTATGCCAGAGAAGGTGAACTTCTACAGTAGCACAGGCATGTCTATCTCTGCCAAAGGCTCAAGGGTATCAGAACCGCTCCACTATAAAGATACGGCATTTGCAAAGATTTGGAAAAGGGGGTGGATGTAACCATTGTTTCATTTGTAACACTAACAGCACCCACCACCTACCTTCCATATTCAGCTCTCACTGTCCACCAAACTCTCCACAGTGTAAGTGTCTGGTCACATGATGTGAACAGGTAGTGCTCAGAACAAGGTAATAGGGTTAACAATGGCACAGGACCCTCATAACTATGTTGCATACTGCACTCTGTTCATTGTTAAATGGGCACAATGCAGCACCAGAGTTTCAAACCACGTATGCAGGGAGTTCCTGAAGCACTGCTAAACTTCACCTGCCTGGGATTACCAATCCAAGACACAAAAAGAAGAAAAATATGGAGCCAGGAAGGATGTACCAGCCAAGCTCCTATTGCTAAGAGATGTCAAATATATGAGGTCAAACTGCACCAGTCTGGGGCGTGTTGACATGATATGGTCCATTTTTATGAACATTTACAAAGAACCTGTATACAAACGTAAGAAATACTCCAGAGAAAATATGAAAAGACAGTGTAGCTCTTAATTGTCCACACTGCTTAAAAAGTAGCTTCCATGGTTCTCCAGAACTTTCCAGAGGGCTGGGTGTAATAGTATGCAGTCTGTTGCTGTGGTAGCAGAAAGGCATCATCCATGTACATTATTGTTGTTGTTAGATACTGTGTTTTTCTTTCTTTCTTTCTTTAGAAAGATGCCTAGACATCTCACATAGATGATGGACTGAAAGCATTACAACATAAATGGAAAGTGGGAGATCCCTGATAAAGCAGGGTTAAATGAACGCAAAAGACCCCCAGCTTCCCAATCCTTACTTTTCCAATGTATCTGACAAATGAGGTTCTCCTATTGTGAACAGCAGCTTACTTTCATCGTTCCCACTGAAGGCCGCATACCTACAGTACAAATAATGTATGAATAATAGATATTTGAATGAGGCTACAGGATGTCTAGTAGAGGAAGTGGCGACAGCTCAAATAGTAACAATCCTGCGTACATTTCTGGCAACTCACTCTAGCCTAAGTGAGGAACGGTAATGTTTTATTGATGAATCCGGTAAAAATCAGGAACAATACAAATGCAGGGACAAGTGATACCTTTAATCGATCATTAAGAATATAATGGATCCAGGGGTGTTTTTACTTGCTCCATGTGAATCAACCACAAGATGGCTCTCTGAGCTGAAGAGAGCTTCAGGTAGGGCATATGGATGATAAAACGGTGCTTGAATCTGAGCACAGTATTGCATGATTCCTAGGAGGTTTATATTAAAGATCAATAGCCCCTTTTCTACACAAGAGACAGGTGGTGCTGTTTAGAGACTGTTACTTCTGGGCAATATTGGTGATGACTGGGATGGGCACAGCAGTCAGCTATGTCTCTCATGGGCATGGTTGTGCACTGGGACTTTCACCAATCAGATGAAAAAATATCACCCCAAAAGGATGGATCATTGTAACATCCCACCCTTCAATAATACACAACTCATCTCAACAGATCAACTCTTGCTCTATTTCCTTCAGAGTGCAGGTGTAGTAGTTGGAGTGCTGGACTTGGACAAGAGCCCTGTGGTGCAGTGGTTAAACTGCAGTACTGTAGCCAAGCCTCTGCTCATGACCTGAGTCTGATCCCAATAGATTCAGGTAGCAAGCTCAAGGT